GTGTGACCAGGGTCAGGGCTCAGAGTGTGACCAGGGTCAGGGGTCAGAGTGTGACCAGGCTCAGGGTTCAGTCTCTGATTAGGATTAGGACACAAAACCACGCAAATGAATGCCTCGCTCCCCACCATGTCCCACCCTCAGCCCCCGCTCTCATTTTCCTAACTGATCGCCCCCAAGGCCCTGCTTTCCAGGTGCCATTTGTAAAATCTACGGGGCCAGGGCCTGCCCGGTGGCGCAAGCGATTAAGTCCGCGCGCTCCGCTGTGGTGGCCCAGGGTTCCCTGGTTCGGATCCCAGGTGCGCACTGACACACCGCTGGTTAAGCCATGCTGTGTGGCGGCGTCCCATATAAAGTGGAGGAAGATGGGCACGGATGTTAGCCCAGGGCCAGTCTTCCTCAGCAAAAAAGGGGAGGATTGGCATTGGATGTTAGCTCAGGGCTTGTACTCCTCACAAAAAAAAAAACAAAAAACACTACGGGGCCAGGAGGTGGGACTTGCTGACTGAGCGCGTTCTCACACACGCCCCTCGCCCGGCGGGCTCACGTAGGTGCTGCACGAAAAGTAGTACACCATCCTGGAGGCGATGTTGTCCACCCAGGGCAGGATCTGCTCCCTGGCGTGCGTGGCCATCTGCCCATAGCAGAGCAGGGAGGTGCTGCTAACCCACCTCCAGTGCATGTTGGGGTCCAGCTCCTGCGGGCAGGGACTGCGGTCAGGAGCCAGGCCTGCGGGGGAGTGGACTCTTCGGGAGAGTGTCAGCCCTGTGCACAGGCTCAGCATTGTGCTCCCAGGCCCGGTGCCAGCCCTCCCTCCAGAGAGCACCTCCACACCCCTGCCCCTCTGGCTGTGCCCGCTGCTTCTCCAGGCAGTGTCTCTCTTCTGAGCATCTCTGTTGTTCCTCTCTCTTCCCAGCGAGGTGCCTGGGACAGAGGATGGCTAGCAAAACAGAGCCGCTCCACGTATCCCCCCAGCTCAGGTGCACAGGTGGGGAAGCTGGGTCCTGGCCCACATGTGCCACCCGAAGTCACGGCAGGGCCCCTAACCACCAGCCCAACGGAGGCTCCAGACTCCACACGTGGGGCCCTGGGGACAAGGCTCAGGTCTGCTGGGCCACAGCAAGAACAGACAAGGTCTGAGAACCACAGTTTGGCCCCTCAGGGAGGTGGGCTGGGAAGGAGCCCCCCCATGTTTCCAATGAGCAAACTGAAGCTCAGAGCACAAAAGTGACGCGTTCCAGGCCAGCACCCCACCCCCAACCCCACGCCGCCCTCCCTACCTGGCTGTCTGAGGACATGAAGGTAGTCCTCAGGAACCTGGTGCGGCCCAGGTGCTCCAGCATGGCCCACACCTCCTCCATGTGTGAGGCGGATGTTATGCCGACGGCCAGCGCAATGCCCTGCTGGCCAGAGGACCCGTGAGCCTGTCCCCCTGCGCCAATGCTGGACGTGACCTGCTCTCTCCCGCCCACCCCTCCAGGGGGCCTACAATGGCAGGCAGGCGAGCCCCCGCCCCTGCCCTGAAGGGCGTGTACCCCAGTGGGGCCAGGACACGGCCCCAGGCACGCCCCCCGAGGTCCCTGCTTGTCAGCGCCTGCTCCCGTGGCCCCACGTTTATACACAGTGCTGGGGTGTTGCGAGAGCCACGCAAAGTCACGAGGTGAAGGGCGGGAGGGTCATCAGCCGAGAAGCAGCAAGGTCCACACAAGGTGGGCTCAGGCTCCCTGAAGGCCGTGTGAGCCGAGGGCCGGGGCTGGCCCGGGGGCCGCTGACCCACCTCTCGCTGGCCGGACGACTGGTGGGACAGCTCGAGGAGGCTGGCCAGGTGCTCCTTCAGCAGGTTGGCGCTGGCACACTCTCTGAGGATCAGCCCATAGAAGTGGAAGAGGAAGGTCTGGGAGGAAGCGGGGAATGGAGCGGCTGTGGGCTGGCAGGGCGAGGGAATGGGGGCGGCAGCCACCACTGAGCCAGCGGGTGAGTGGAGTCAGGGAGCCTGTCCTGAGACCTGCTCCCAAACTGCACAGCACCCCCCTCCCCAGGCCGGCTGCCGGCCACTGTGCCCACCATCTGCGAGGCTGGAGGAGGCGCGTGGGGTCACCGCAGACCCCCGCCGCCCTGCATTGCTTCCTTGCTGGTCCTGGGGCTGCAGCCAGAGCGGGGGCCCCAAGCTCTGTGGCTCCTACAGACCCTGCGCCTGGTCTGGTGCCTGAGTCTAGGGACTCGGTCCCCAGGGATGGGGCCCCACCTTGCTTTTGTGGGCCCCCAGGGGCACCCACGCCCCCGAGTGCCGCCCTGCCAGCCTTCCTGCGCAGAGCCCTCTGGCAATGCTGGAGCTCCCGCCCGCTCCCCCGGGCGCCCTAGGCAGAGCCATGCCCCCTGCACCCCAACCACTTCACGTGGGTACAGGAGACCACACTCAGAATCTTCTAGAATTCCCTTTTGTTTTTCTCTTGATGAGAATTTGTGGTTTCCACATTGGGTGACACAATATGAATGGGGCACGTTTCCCCATTTTCCCTGCTGGCATCGCCACCGCGTGTGTTTCCTGCACTATAGGGTAAGGCCCACGAGGTGGGCACTCCTGTCCTGGCCACTGCCACGTCCCTGGGGTCCAGAACAGGGCCTGGCTTGCCAGCAGCCAGTGGTCAGTAAACGTGTGCTGAGTGAGTGGACAGCGGACTGGCGTCTGTAAGGCCGCCATCCCCACTGGGCCTGGCCCCTCCTCGCCTGGCCCACTGGGGTGGGTCTGAGTGTCCTGGAGCAGCCAGGGCGTGAGCAGAGCCTCCTCGTGGCAACAGCACTCCTCATGACCTTCCAGCACTTTCCCTGAACACGGAGCTTCCAGTCATGTCGGTTACTTGGGGAGCGGAGGGGCCTGAGCGGTCCCGTGCTCTGCCGGTCACAGCCTCCCGGGGTCTCCGAGCGGCACCTGTGGGACGCCCTGGGCAACCCCGCCCAGGCACTGACCTTCTCCAAAGGCTGCTTGAGGTCCAGCTTCAGGGAGGCCAGGAGCTCCTGGATGCTGGTGTCCGACACCTCCTTCCTGAGGAGCTGTGGGCAGAGCACAGCGCTTGAGCCCACGCGCCCCACCAGGCTGGGGGGACACGGCCCAGAGGGCACAGGACAGGCAGGCCCTACCAGGACCGGGAGCGGGAGCTGGAGGCCCAAGTCCACTGGGAACACCCAGGGATGGCGGTCACCCTGGGGTGGGGCAGACAACACAGCAACCCACTCTCAAAAAGGGTAAGAAGAGGGTTGGGGGTGATCTCCCTCCAGCAACCACCAAGTGGCTCACTCTAAGTGTGACTGTGGCCATGCCCACCTCTGCTTGGCCCCCGGCAAGCCCCTACCCAAAGGACAGAAGCCAAATCCCTTAACCCAGCTGGTGAGCCTGTGACATCATCTTGGCCCTTCGGCCATCTCCTGAGAGTGCCTCCCACCCCTCCCTGATGGCATCTTGCTGGCCTCAGGCTCTTTGCACAGGCTGTTCCTGCTGGCTGGACAGCTCTCTCTCCCCACCCCTGAGCCAGGATCTCCCATGCATGGGTCAGCCATCGGCCACGTTCCCGGGTCCCCGAAGCCAAGCTGCGCATGTGCTTGGAGGCTGTCTCCCTCTGTAAGCTCACGTGCCCTGCTGTGATCCCTCCCCCTTGGTCCTGTCCATCTGCCCTGGACACCAGAGAATCTGGAGCAGGAATGTGGAGGAGAGGGGCCAGGAGAGCTCCCATCCCGCTTGGGACCTCAACCACCTCTGGTGGCAACTCAGGGATTCACACTGGACAGAGGGCCGGAGCACATGGGGCACTAGGTAAGAGCTCGGCCTGGGCCCCCACGTGGGTGTGAGAACAACCACAGGAGGCCTGAGCTGGGGAGCCTCCTGCACCCCGCAGGTTGTGGGGGTCCCCGGGCCCAGAGATAGCTGGACGCTGCCCAGTCGTCTAGAGCCCCTGAGGCCCTGGGGTGGGGGCAGGGTGTGGCTCCGTGTGGCGCCCAGGCCCACACCTGGCTGACGGGCACTGGCAGTGGCATCTGAGCATCAGGTGGCAGAGCCTGTGTGCCCCACCTGCCCCTCCACTTGTGCCCCGACTCCCTCCTACCTTCTGGCACCTTCCAGTCACCCATGCTGGAAGCTCAGGGGCTTCGGGGACTGCAGAGGCTGATGGGAGCCAAGGGGCAGCATGCATCCCCAGGCCCAGGGAGGCCCCTCGCCCCCAGTGAGCCCTGGAGCGGCAGGGGGTTGGGGATCCCTTCCTCCGTGGGTGTGAGGGTCTCTCAGGGTCCCACCTGGCTGTGCTCCTGGATGCAGTGGCGGACGGCCTCCAACGCCAGGCTCTGCTCCAAGGCCGACATGGCCCTGATTTCGCTGACGAGCGCTTCCTCCCAGGGTGGGCTGTCACTCGGGTGCTCGCCCACGATGACCCTGCCTGGGTGGTCTGCAGAGGACAGAGAACAGAGAGGCAGTGCCAGGCCCTGCAGCCCCAAGCTGGGGGCACCAAGGAGAAGCCCCAGACCTCCCAGCTCCCACTCCAGCTGGGTCGCTATTTCCCCCCCGCCCAAACTGCTTTCTTTACAAACATTCGCAGGAAAAGAGGTGTAAACAGAGCCAGGAGACTGGAAATGCGGGACTTGGAGGGCAGGTGCTTCCCAAGTGCTCAGACACAGTCTGGAGGTGGGGAGGCGCAGCGACTTGCCAGAACCCAGCCCAGGAGGGGGGACACACTGCATGACAGGACCTCGAAACCTCAGCCCACGAGGAGAACCAGGTGCCGAAGGAATTGCTAATCGTTTAGGACCAAAAATTAACCTGGGCCCCTACCCTACCCCTTGCACCAAAGTAAATAGCAGACTGTCACAATATCTGAATTTCCAAACCGCAGCTGTAAGCGTCCCGGGCGGACAGTGTGGTCTGTGATCTATAAATCCCGGGTAGAGAAGGGCTTTCTAAACACCGCGCAGACGGAACCCAAAGGGAAGACACTTTCAGAGCTGGCACGAACTTGGGGCCCCAGCAGTCGTTATGACCCACTAAACAGAGGACACTGAAAAGCTCTGTGCAACATCTACAATAACAGGTCAAAGTGAGTATGTCGGAGGCTCTCACAAGTCAGTCAGTAAAGATCTGCACCACCACTTTAAACACAGGCAGAGGGGATGGAGAGGCGGCTTCCAGAACAATCCTACTGGCCAGTAATTAAACCAAAAGATGGTCCACCTCACCGGTGATAAAAGAAATGCAAATTAAAACAAGGAGATGTGACTTTTCCTGTCAGGGAGAAAGGACGAGCAAGAGCGTGGAGAAGACGCTCTCACAACGCAGGGGGCAGTAACTCGTCCTCTTTGAAAGATAACTCAGCAGCGGATCTCAAATGTAAATAAGACACATGTTCAAAACCCCTCAGACAACAGGGCTCCTCTCTCACTAACAACCAAGCCTGGGAGCCTTATGATAAATGTGGGTGTGGCTTTCCAAATTGTCTAACACTTTAACGAAGGTAATCAATTCTTCTTTGATCAGGAAAAAAACAAAGGTTTCGAAGGCAGCGTCCCATTGGGAATGGAAGAGAGTCAGGTCTCGGGTCAGGGGGCCCGTCCAGTCAGTCGGTGGCCGTGGGCAGGCCGCCCCACTCCCCCTGTGCAGCCCCATGGCCCCGGGGCCACCGCCCTGCGCTGCCCTCACTAGGGGCCTCCGTGTGTCCCAGCGGGTCCCACGCCCAGGCTGTGCCTGCCAGGCGAGGTCAGCTCCGAGAACCCCCAGCTGACTCCCATGTCACGCGGCCAGCGCCAGGCCCAGACTTGTTGGGCAGCCTCACTGATGGCACTGACCAGCCACCGGCTGGAGTCATTCATTCATTCATTCATTCAGTAAGCACTCATGGAGAATCTACTATGTGCCAGGCACTGGAATCACAGAGAAACACAAAATGCTCGTGTTTATAACGCTCCCGAGGGGTCTGTGTCCCCACAGCATGGGCGGCGGTGGGTGGCATAACCCTGCCCCTCCCTCACGGGATGGAGGCTGCAGGCTACCAGCAGGAGCGGCACAGAGGGAGGGCAGCAGTGGAGCCCATTGACTTCTGGGGTCTGGAGAAGGCTGTGGCCCCCATCGAGCTGAAAGGGGGTGGGGTAGGGCGGGGCCTCCAAAGCAAACCTTCCCTGCTTTGTAAGGCTCACTGAAGCCCTTCCAGAAGTTTCTGTCTGCCTACAGCCCACACAATGTCAGGAGAGCATCCCAGAGCCAGATGGCGTGACTCAAGCTGTCCCTCCGCCCAGGCAGACAGATCACAGCGTCCTCACTGCCACACTCTGCCCGGGCAACACTTAGAAATTGTGTGGGAAAGAGAGGGGTTAGCACAGAGCCCAAGGCTGGGGCAGCGCCGCCCAGGGACGGCTCAGGGGGCCAGACCCCCACTCACCAGTGTCCACCTCTTGCCCCTCGGTGGACGACAGGCAGTTGGACCTCCAGCGGGGATGGTGGAAGCCATCGCTGGGTGTGACTGCCACGGAGAGTGGTGCCTCTGGGGAGGACAGGTCCTGGGTCTGGACAGAGGGCAGCGTCACTCACATCTGCCCGAGCAGGGGCCACACCATGCAAGGCCCCACCTCAGGCAGTCACCCCGACCTTACCAGGCCCCCACCTCGGGCAGTCACCCCGACCTTACTGGGTTCCCCACCTCGGGCAGTCACTTCAACCTTACCAAGTTCCCCCCACCTCAGGCAGTCAACCCAAACTTGCCAGGCCCCCCACCTCAGGCAGTCACCCTGACCTTACTGGGTTCCCCCACATCGGGCAGTCACCCCTCAACCTTACCAGGCCCCCACCTTGGGCAGTCACCCCGAACTTACCGGGTACCCCACCTCAGGCAGTCACCTCAAATATTATCAGGACCCCTCACATCAGTCACCCCAACCTCCCCAGGCCCCCCACACGGCCAGTTAGAGGGCTCTCTATGGGCCCTGGGGAAGCAGGGAAGGAGGAGGTTCCCAACTTGGGCTGACATTCAAGGCTTCCCAGGCATTGCCCGTCCTCCAAGACCCCTCGGCCCCAGCCTGTCCCCAGGCTCCCTGCCCCAGAGGCTCTGCGATTCCACGTCCTGAGTGCACGTGGCAGTGACCACACTGGCTTCCCCCGTCCTTACATCCACAGCCCGGGCACGGGCCACCACCAGGGGCAACCAGGCACATGGGGCAGTGCAGACGGGACAAAGGATCTTTGCCAAAGCCTTTATGGGGCGCGCTGGGACAGAGCCCAGGTGCCCGGCCTGCTCCACCTCGCGCTTGGCCCCTTCTCTCTGGGCCCAGGTGGATGGGTCAGGCGCTCTGAGAGGCCATGCTGACCTGGGCCTTCCTGGGGGTCCTCTTCTGCTCTCACCCCTCCTTGGACCATCAGTGCCCACCCACGCTTCCACTGGGCTTCCCAACGTGAGGGGATGGCAGAGGCCTTGTTCTAGTGCACCTTCTGGTCGGAGAGCCTGGGACAGGCCCCAATCTGCATTTCTAACACGCCTCCAGTGACCCCAGTGCTGCCAGTCTGGGCTCGGTGGCCACCTGGAGGCCCCCCAGGTCCCTCTCTGGGCTGGACCTGGGGAGTGGCTGCAGGATCACACTGGTGTACGTCCCTCAGGGCCCTGACCCAGCTGCTCCCTGCTGAGGGGTGACATCCCTTGACCACCAGCCCCTCCGGGCCCCTGCATCCCTTGGACCCCTCCCGCTCCCTACTCTGCCGGCCTTAATTCCTAATGCCTCTCCAACGCTGTCCACTTGTCTGCCCCACTGCCCGTTCTCTTCTGGGCCCCCGGAGGACCCCTCACGCCTGTCCTGACATCCCTCCCCATCAGTTCTTGGCCCTGATCCTGGCCTGTCTCTCCTCACCACCTCTCCCTGCTGCGGTCTGCTGCCTCCCCACCGCTGACCTCCATTCACCTCCCCTCCAGAGCCCCGAGCTCGGCCTTCCCTCGCTGGTTCCTCAGGGGCCGGGCTGGGTCTGTGCCCCAGTGCCCAGCACCGTGCCGGCACGGCAAGGGCCCAGTGTGCAGGCGAACGTGTGCATGCAGGTGAACCCATGCGCGTGTGCAGGAATCAGTGCCAGGATGAGCGGCGAACGAAGAGAGAGGGAAGAAACGCCCCCGGGAATGAAAGCCCCTGGGCTCCCCGCCGGGCACTGGGGGCCTCGTGCCCTGTCCCGCTGGTCTCGTTACACCCTCCCCAACCCGGTGCCTGGGAAGTGGCAGGTGCCACCCTGGTCCTCAGGGCCCCAGTGTGATGAGCCAAACCTGTTTCTCGGCGCATCATGCCGGCGTCTCCCTCCCTCGCCCTCCCCTCCCACCTCTCTTCCCAGCCTGCCTCCTCGGAGGAGAGTGACAACCGCAGCCCAGCCCTGCCCTCCATCCTGCCACCAGGCACAGCAGATTGTCTTCTGAACCCCGACATCCGACCCACCCTTGTCCTCGCTCCCCTCACGCCCTCCCCCCGAGCCTGAGCCAACCACTCCCTCACTCAGTCCTGCGTCTCCCAGGCCTCTTGGTGGTGCATCCCCAAGAGTGCCCCAGCTCCACACGGAAGCCTCGCTGCCACAAAGGCCTCGTGACCTGCACCCCGGCCATGGGCTTCAGCTGGGGGCTGTTGACGAATTTGGAGGAGACAGTTTTCTCTGGAGGTTGAACTCCCTTCTGCAAACTGGTTCCCAAAACCCTTTTCATGGAGGAGGCAAAGGCCATTGTCATCCATTCCAGGTCTGGAGTGGGGCAGGCTGTTGGCCATGACAGTGAGAGTGAGCCTGGGGGAGGAGGTGAGCTGAGACCCCAGGGAATCCTAAGTCAGAGAAGGGGACAGTGAACCCAAGGAGGAAATGTTAGGGTGGCCTGGGGGAACCAAATCCCAAAATGGTTAATTTGGCCGGACGCCAGCTGGGGAAGCAGCTGGGGTAGGAGAGAGCACGGGCACCTCACACAACCCCACAGCTCGCTGCCCTCCCAGCCCTCTGTATCCCTCAACCAGCGCCCTTCCTCTCCTGCCACCACACCAAGTGTGTGACCCACCTCCTGGCTTCCCTCTGCTCATGCACCACTGGCTCCCCACCCTTGTGGGGCCACAGGCCTTCTTTCCAGTTCCTCTACCCCGTCACTGCCACCACCACCACAGCCATCATGGGCGAGCCTCTACACAAGCCGCCCTATTGCTTAGGGTGCTCCTTCCCCACTGCCCTGCCCACTCCTCCACTCCCTCACCCCTAACCTGCTGGCCCTCCGCTCTGCCCTCTCCATCCACTCCTGCCTGGGGTTCCCTTTCTACCCCACTTAGGGCTTGTGCCTGCGGTCTGTGTGCCTGAGCTTAGGTTCCAGCAGGGAAGAGGCCCTCCCCAACAGGGGGTCAGGTTCCTGGAGAAGGACCCCGAGATGCTAAAAGACCGCTCAGAAGTGAGTTCCAGGCTAATCAAAGAAGTCATGTAAAAGGAAGTTATTCATATGTAGAGACTGTTTTTAAACAAATAACCTTTTCAAGTTATAAAAGATAGCAGCTCTCAAGAAGGGAAAGTTGGCTGGGGCCCCGGAGCGCACACTAGTAGGCGAGAATCCCACTTCCGGGAATTTAATTTATGGAAAAAATGAGAAATGCATAAAAAATTCACTATTCGAGGGTTGTTCACAGGTTTAAAATACTCATACATCTCATACATGTGCAAAAATAGAGGAAGAATGGGCAGCATTAAAAATCATGTTTCTGAAGACTATTTAGTGACGTAGGGAATTGCTCAGGATCCCACAGAGAATGAAAAAGTTACATGATTCTAATTTAAAGTTAAGACCTTTCTCACGGTGTTGGGATTCCCAGTGATTTTTTTCCTGTACTCTTTTCAAAAATTTCCAACTTGTCTGCAATGAGCATGGATTACCCATATCAGAAAAAGAAAATGCATATTTAAAACCAAAAATGATGTGAAGTTTAAGAAAAAGACGAGAGAAACACTACCTTAGGCCCCGGGGAGCGGTTGGGCCCACCGGCCGGAGGGGGAGCTGGCATGAGTGGTCTCTGCCCAGTTCAGGTCCAGAGGACCTGGCAGCCTTGGGGAGCCTGAGGAGAAAATGGGGCAGGGGGCAGGTCAGGCCTCAGGCCTCGAGCAGGTCTCTGGGCAGGCTGGGAGAGGCCGGCGTGGGCAGGTTCATGGGGGCAGAACCCCAGCCCCTCTCGGCCTGTGGGCACATCTGGGGCCCGAGGGGGCCGTGCGGGCCGGAGGTCACACTCTGACCGAGCAGGGTGGCCTGGATCCCACCCGGACGGCAAGGAATTTGCCCTCGGAGAAAGGCCCGAGCATGAACGGCCACAGCGGGGGAGGTTCCGAGGACATGTATGAGTTCCCAGGGCAGAGACGACCAGGAACGGGGCTCGCTCCCCCTACCCCTGGAGACCGAGTCCCCCCCCGAGGGAGCAGTCGTGTGCCCCACTGTTCTCAATGTCGGGTTCAGGAGAGGCCCGTGCGCTGTGGGGAGACTGAAGAGAAGACAAAGCGGGTAGAGCGGCCAGCGATGCAGGCGGGGTGGGCTGGGGGCGTCCTTCTCAGGCAGAGCTGTCCAGAAGGGGCAGTGGGCAGGTCGCGGGAGGTGGCGATGCTGGGACCATCTTGAAGGAGCTGTGGGATTTGAAACGCCCAGCCTCCCCCGGGGGCCTGGCCGTCTGGATACCTCCCGGAGGCCCCTCTGCCAGTCGTGAGTCTCTGTCCCCAAGGCTCACTGGGAACGTATCTCCTGAGAAGACGAGTTTGGATGCCACGGTTCCCCGGCCGGCCCTGTCCCTAACAGCCACCCTGACCTAAGAATTCCGTCCTCCAACAGACGCCCGGGGCAGTTGAGGGAGCCACAGGCTCGTGCCCAGGAGTCAGTTCTCTGGGCTGAGAAGGCCGCGGTCTGGACGCTGCGAGGACACCCCAGTGTCTGCCTCGCCACCTGCCCCACCCCGGACAGGTCCCTGGGACAGCCGTGCCACCCTGCCTCACTCAGCTGCCCTGAAACAGGACCTGCAGCTCCCCGGGAAGCCGCCTCAGGCCGCGGCCAGGCTTTGGTTGAGGGGCTCCTCTTTCGAGAGACCCGTGCCCACTTCTGACCGCCACCAGGAAGCCCCTGGGAGTGTGTCCCCAATACCAGCACTGCGCTGTCACCTGCTTGAGTTCATCGCATGGGTTTGGGCTCGCTGGGTCTTTCCAGAGCACATGGTGCCCCCATGTCCCTGCCCAGGGCTGGCTGTTCCCGGGCCCTGCTGCCTGAGGCTGTGCCCCTCAAGCCCAGAGAACAAGGCAGTGCAGAAGGTGGGGAGGCTGCTCCCCCAACACTGGCCACTGCCCCTAGGCACGTCCACTGGCGTCCCGGTCACAGGTCATAACTCCACTGGAGGACAGCTGGGGGGCGTGGCTAAACCAACTGCTGTCCTCAAAGGGTCTCTGGGGACCCCGAGCCCCCTCCCTGGGGGGTGCTCCCTGAAGGGTCTGAAAAATTAGGAGTAAATCCTTCTCCCTATCCCACTGCCCCCCAACAGGGGCTCTGTGGCCAAAAGTTGCCTCTGGCCTGGGCAGCCAGCAGGCCCCTCCCTGGTAAATGCCACCACGGGGCCTCGGGACAGACTCCTCCCCCGGGCACAGGCCAGCTCACCAGCAGGGCTGTGCCTCGTGGTCTTCCTTAGAACAGTCTGAGGGACCACTCCCCTGAGGAGCGGCTGCCCATTCACAGTTGTTGTTCTTGTGCTTTTTTCAGAATTCTCTCCTCTGGGAGAAGCTGGCCTGCCCCAGCCACCCTGGGGCCCTGGAAGAGCCCCCACAGAGAGCAGGCTCCTGACTCGTGGGCTCCTGACGGGTGTCCAGCCGCTCCGGAGGGAATCGAGCAATGGTGCGGCTCTCCGGGTCCTGAGCCTCGGAGCTGCGAACTGCGGAGACAGGAGGGTCCCCCTCCTGTGGACAGAGGGTCCGGACTCGAGTGGGGCCCCGGCAAAGAGAGGCGAGAAGCCTTGCAGGTGGTTGGGGCTGAGGAGGCGAGTGGGAAAGAAGGGGGCCGAGGAGAATGCGAAAGGGCCTCTCCAGCCACTGCAGCCTCCAGCCACGGGGCTGAGGAGGAAATTGGTCCCTGAGGAACCTGGGAGTGGCCTCACAGGAGAGCCTTTCCAGAGGTTTCTACCAGAAGCGGCCCCACGCTGACAGTGCCCTTGGAGAGGTGGCCCCAGGCTGTGAGATCACAGGGAGGCTGGGGCCTGCGGGCGGCTGACTGAGGCCTCATCTCTGCAGGCCAGTCTCCAGGCCAGTCTCCAGGCCATCAGAAAGCTGGGTGCAGAGAGAAAGCCCCAGAGTGAGGCTTCCCCTGGGATGTGGCAGCAACTGCCTCGGGGGGTCCTTCCGCTTCTGGGTGGGAGCTTTCTCTGTCCACGCTCTCCACTCGTGGAGAGGGCACTTGCCCTCCACTTGCCCCCAAGGGCAAGCTTGCTGCCCCTCTGCTCTGTGACAAGGACGAGTCCTTCTCTGACCTCTGGAGGATATGGAGGGGGGCAGGACAGGTGACCCCAGTGCAGCCCGGCCCAGCCTCTGGGAATCTGTAGGGACACACTGGCTTTCCCCAACCCTCACTAGACACGGTGGCATGACCATTTGCCCATGGAAGAGGGGCCAGAATTGGCCCTGAGGATGTGTCATGGCAGGGAGCTAGCTAAAGACCCTCAACACCTCCCAGATCCCAGTCAGGTGGAGCTGGACCCCCCAGGCCACACTGAGGTGATGTGACACTGGAGGACAGCGGTCCTCAAAGGCCCGGCATCTGAATCAGGGCTTCAATCCCTGGGGCTCCCGGAGGAAGGCACTGTTTCCATGGTGACAAAGGGCTGCCTGGGGAGGGGGGAACTGCAGGCCCTGTTGATAGGTGGGGAATGGGGACATAGGTGACCTCTGCATTGGCGCTCTGAGCACACGGCAGGCCGCGGGTGGGGGCCACGCATGGGCCGGGCCTGGGCTGGCGGCCACGTCCAGGGCAAAGGAAGTTGCCCAGTGGCTGGTTCAGAGTGGACGTAGGGGGTCTGAATCAAAGGGCGCAGCCTGAATGCTGAGCAGAGAGGGCGCGTGGGCCGTGGTGAGGAAGTGTCCCACAGCCCCTGCTCGGCAGGCATCCACTCCCCAGGCTGAGGGGCTAGGAGGAGGGCCAGGAGAAGGCCGTGTCCTCAGGCTCCCACTGTTCTTTCCCAGGCCCTCAACCCAGCTTGGAAGGAGGGGTCCCAGGAGGAGTAAGAGAGGGAGCTAGGGGAAACGGAGCCCTGGGTGGTGTTGGGGACAGTGTGGGCTGCAGGCTGGGCAGGCCCCCGCTTCCCCAGGAGCCGGCAGAGGGCCCTGGGGAGACAAAGGCTCAGACCCTGGGGATGGAGCTGACGGGGTCTGTCGAGGTTGGGGTCAGTCGTTAGGCGGTGAGCAGGGCTTAAAGAGCAATTCTTAGAGAGTAGCGTTCAGGTGCCAGTGATGTGGCCAGCGCACTCTGGTTTGGGGACCAGGGATAAGCGATCCAGAGGTCTGAGGAAGCTGGGGGACGGCCCTCACAGTGGCAGGGGGCAGAGCCGGGCACAGCTTGGAAGGCTTCTGGGAGGAGGCAGGATCCTGGGTGCTCTGATGTGAGATGAGTGGGCAGGGGATGGGAATCACGGGGGTGGGGAGGGGCGACATTAACAAGGAGGGGCTGGGGAAGAGGGGACAGGGTAGCAGAGCGCTGGGAGAAGGAATCCCAACTTCATGACAGTGAGACTCTGTGGAGACAGGAGCCTGGCTGGGTGTCCCCTCGCTACCCGCAGCACTCAGGAAGGGTGGGAGGGACCGCAGGCTGGACTCTGGAACCCTGAGACCCAAGGGAGGGCGGCCGGGGCAGAGGGACGCCAAGCGGGAGGCACTGGCATCCAGTGGGGGAGACTCCTGGGCAGACCAGGTGCGCTGGGGAGAGCTCCAACCCGGGACACTCCCGTCCTGGGCAGCGGGGTGTGAGCTGGGGGCAAAGACAGACTGGAGAGTGGAGAGACACCAGAGAAGGGCCGCTCCCCCCAGTGGGAATCCCCCCAAGGACCCCCACAGGGTCACTGCCGTCTGCACGTTCTGGGGTCCTCAGCACTTTGTTCTTGACTTCTCTGTGTGCCCCAGGCACCACTAGAGTTGGAAAACCCGGGACCGGGTATATAGGAACCTGGACTGACCAGTAGAGAGAGCAGCGTGGGGGCGCGGCCCCCACCCAGAGGCCCTTGGCCGAGGAAGGCCCTGAACGATGTGAGCCTGCAGTCCCCAGCCAGGTCTGGGACAGATGCTGGGGGCCTGGGCATCCAACCTGCTCACTTCACAAGGGGCTGGCTCTGACCAAGGCCACACCCACTGTGCTTGTGGCTGGTGGATTTGAGAGTTTCGCCATGCTCCCCGCCCCCCAAGGTCCACGCAGGGTGGAGCTGGGTGGGCAGGACGGCGGAGGCCATGCAGAACTCAAGTTTCAGGGGGATCCCACATAGGTGGGGAGAGATGGGGAGGAAAGACACAGGCTCTCCTGCAGCCCATGGCTCCCACACAGGCTGCCACGATCTGAATCCTTCATTCGTTCAACATGGGATACTTGAGCCCCCAGAATGTGCTGTCCCCCATCAGCTTGGGAAAGGGAGAAAAAGATGTGACCAAGGCAATCTGTGCCCTTTGGGCCTCAAGGCCTGGGAGGGAGACAGATTCCTAAATGGACAGCCATTCAACAAGGCCAATGCCCAGTAGAAACAGTCAGCTTCTGCCTGGAAGAACCAGGGCAGGCCTCTTGAAGGAAGGGGCATTTGAGCTGGGGCTTGAAGCATAGATAGGAGTTTGCCAGATGGTAAGGAAAGAAAAGGTACTGCCGCAGCGGGAATGGCGTACAAGGTCATGGAGAGGGGAAAGACCTAGCCAGTCTCGGGGCAGGAGGGTGGCGCGCAAGGGCCAGGCCAGGTGGTGGGTGTGTGCTTGCAGGGTGGGCTGTGGGGGACCCCGTAGTCCACGTGGCAGGGGGATGGGGGTGGTGTCCTTTTCAAATGCAGGGCCCGGGATTTAGGGTCTGTCTTTCGGCAGAAGGGAGCCTTCTGAGGTTCCAAAGCAGCAGAGGCAAAGGGGGCTTCAAGCTCAGGAAGGCCGCGTGGGGCAGCTGGGGGGGGCCTGATGAGAAGGCCCGTGCCCAGGAGACCAGGCGGAGGCCGAGCCAGGCTGAAGCTCCGGGCCACCTCGCTTCCTTCCGCTCCATTCAGCCAGTCGCTCTGAGGTCACTCGTGGCGTCCATGTGGCCCAGGCTGGGGGCAGGGTCAGTCACAGGGTGATGGCACGTGATGTGGTGTCGATGCCCCGTCAGACTCCGCGACTTCCGCTTGCTCTGCTGGGGCCCTCAGCCAACCTTCCCGAGGGGCTGCCCCCCGTCTCAGTCTCAGGCCGGAGCGAGTCCCAGCTGCCCCCGTCTGTCTCCCCAGAGCCCCCAGAAATCTTTCCGGCCTCTCCCCCACACACCTCCTGCTGTCTCCTTCCCACCTCTTTCTTCTGATTCTCCGTCCAAGGGCTGGCCAGGCAGGGCAGGAGTGGGGCCAGATGGGGCCAGGGAGGGAGAAGCTGGGAGGGGCCACTCCAGTGGGTGTTGGGGCCGCCAGGGGGAGCCCACAGAGGAACGTGGGGGAATGGGCATCAGGGACATCAAGGCGCCTGCAGCCAGGTGACCCTCAGATCTGTTCCTCCACCATGGGCTGTGTGGCCTTGGGTAGATTACTGAGTCTCTCTGTGCCTCGGTTCCCCATCTGTGAAATAGCGCCTGCCGCGTATGGTTGTAACGAAGGTTGACTGAGCATTTGTCTGTAAAGTGCTTGGACACACAACAGAATACAGGAGAAACAGCACTGTGAGAGGAGCCGTGTTCACACTCACTGGAGGCGGGTATGGGTTAGGGAGGGGGGAGGGCTGGGGGGTGGCGCAGGCCACGTCCTCAGGTTGGGTAAGCGGGGAGATGGTGTCCGAGAGGGTGACGTTTGGGCAGAAACGGGCAGAAGTGGGGCGTGCACAGGTCGGAGGGGCCCCGGGAGGGAGGAAGTCCAGGCACGAAGAAGAGCACGGGGCACAGCTCTGGGGGCCGGGGCCTTGCACGGGCAGGCAGCACACGGGCCGGGGAGGCGGGGAGGGGCTCAGGACCAGGGAGCGTCAGCGTGGGGTCTACGCAGGGAGCCACACGCCTGGTGTCTTCTCCTCACGCACCCCTTCCCTCCTGGCTTTTCTTGACAAATGTAACATCAGCACCCCCACGGGCCAGGCGCTGGGTGGGAGCCCAGAGTGCTGAGGGCCGAGGGATAGCTGCCCCGAGGGGCCCTGCTCCAGCTGCAGGACAGCAGGGACCCTCACTCTGGCCTGCAGTCACACGGCCAGAAGCTGAGTCGCTATGGGCTCAGGGAGCCCAGTTACCTGTGATCCCCTCTGGCAGGTCTAGGATTTCCACCCTGAGAGTAGACCACAGCGCTGCCTGATCTTGCCTGCCCCTTCCACTGCAGGGTCCCAGCACGTGGTCCCAGCACATCCCCACCACAGGTTGGAACCGGAGCCTGGTAGAAAAAGAGGGGACCTTGTCTGTGGTCGGGAAGGGAGAAGCAATGGGGTGAGCGGGCGGCAGGTGGCGAAGAGAACGCCGGGCTGCTGGCCAGGAGCGCGGGGCCCCAGACGGCTTTGGCCGAGCTGAGGGAACAGGACAGGTGCAGGTGACCTGGGACATGGCGCCAGCCTCTGTGCCTGCTGTGACCCGGGTCCCTGAGGGGCTGTGAAGAGGACTGAGGGCACTGGGAAAGGGCCTGGCTCCGGGCAGGTGCTCAGGCACCTCCCAGCCCAGGCTGCATCCCTGGGGGGCGACAGCAGGAAGGAGGCCAGGGAGGGAGTGGGCAGGAGCAGAGCTCCAGGGGCTGACCCCG